TGACATATAGTGTCGGGTTGAGATAAATTTCTCTTAACTAACAGCAAAGATCCACCACGGTCTGTTAATGAGTAGATACCTTCCTCATAAAATTTCAAATCTCGATCCTTTCGAAAACAAATATAATCATCAGGACAAAATTCATTGCTGCTAACCAAAGTCCGTTTCCGCAACCTCCGGGGCATCGATATTACAAGTTTCAAGTCCGACATTGAAAACTCATTCGCTAGAGTAAATCAAACGGATAGCCTGGCTCTTGACTCCAAAGTCAACCTGTTCAACCACACACTTAAGACCACCCTTGACCACCACGCCCCGGTTAGGTCAACTGAGGTTCAGCTACGTCCACATGCCCCTTGGTACGACGATTCCCTGCGAGTGCTGAAACGCAAGAAGCGCTCAAAAGAGAGGAAATGGATGAAGTCCAACTTAGCTGTTGACCAATTAGCAATGCATCAGTCCCTCTCGGAGTACTATACTGCCCTGAAAGCCGCAAAGACACGATACCAACGACAGAAGATAACAAATAGCAGCCAGAGTGACCTCTTCCGGATTGTTCGGAGCTTGACATCAGAACAACTTCCTCAGGTCCTACCCCTCCACAACTCAAAGAAAGAACTAGCACAAAAGTTCATCTGCTTCTTTGAAGAAAAAGTTCATGGACTTCGATTGGCACTCGACATGGCTGCCGCACCACAGCAGTTACAGATTCACTCAGTGCCAACACAACATTCCTTAGCTAAATTCCATTCGGTATCGGAAGCAGAGGTCTTAAAGATCATCAAATCGACAAAGATCAAGACTTGTTCCCTCGACCCTGCTCCAGCTAATGTCATAAGCAGATGCACTGATACACTTCTACCAGCGATTGTTGATATCACAAACCAATCTCTTCAATCTGGTGTGTTCCCGGCAGCCCTAAAGTCAGCACTCATCACTCCCGTACTCAAGAAACCATCTCTTAACCCAGACATCTTACAGAATTTCAGGCCCATCTTCAACCTACCATTCATCGGAAAGGTGATTGAGCGAGCCGTCATCCAGCAACTTACCTCACACCTCACTAAACACTCACTGCTTGCCACATTCCAGTCCGCCTACAGACGGCGTTACAGTGTTGAAACAGCTCTGGTTCGAGTGTATAACGATCTCTTGCTAAGTCTTGATTCGAAAGACGAGGCAATTCTTGTACTCCTAGACCTTACGGCAGCCTTCGACACCGTGGATCACTCAATTCTGCTCACCCGTCTGAATCACAGATTTGGATTAGAAGGCTGCGTTCTGGATTGGGTGGCCTCGTATCTATCAGGAAGACAACAATCAGTGATCATTGGAGAGGAGCGCTCCGATCCTGTGAGCCTGAAATGGGGAGTACCACAGGGATCCGCACTCGGGCCCCTGTTATTTGTGTGTTACACAACCCCAATTCAAGACATCCTCGAGTTGCACGGTCTCTCCCATGCAATGTATGCCGACGACACACAACTCTACATATCTGTAAAACCCTCAGACAGAAATCTTGCAACACAACAGATTGAGAAGTGCCTCTGCGACATCAGAGCATGGATGTCGACTAACTACCTAGTCTTAAATGATGGTAAAATGGAAGTCCTCCATCTGTCCTCATCTCATGCCAGAGGAAGCATAAAAATCCCCCATCTGACTGCTGGCGACTTCCAAGCTACACCCTCCGAATCAGTCCGCGATCTAGGTGTTATTTTCGACTGCCACCTTACTATGCGTCCACAGGTCAACGCTGTATGTCGAAAGGCATCCTTTGCTTTGAAGCGAATTGGCAAAATTCGCAGATCTCTCGATAAACGCTCCACCGAAATCCTGGTCCACGCCTTAGTTACATCTCTCCTGGACAACTGCAACTGCCTACTTACTGGCCTCCCAGACAAAGAAATTGACAAACTCCAACGCATCCAAAACTCAGCTGCCCGTCTGGTATCCCTTTCCAAGAAATGCAACCACATCACTCCAACCCTCAAATCCCTCCACTGGCTGCCCATCCGGCAGCGCATTCGCTACAAAACCCTTCTGCTTACTTTCAAGGCCCTAAACGGAACTGCTCCATGCTACATTACTGAGCTGCTACAACCACACCATCCTCCCAGATCTCTCCGTTCATCTTCCCAGGGATTCCTCACAACAACTATACCAAGGACCAAATCATACGGCTCAAAGGCATTCTCACACGTCTCTCCCAAGTTGTGGAATGCCCTTCCATCCCCACTTCGAACAGCTCCAACCATAGACAACTTCAAATCTAACCTCAAATCCCATCTGTTTCAATTGGCCTACTCTCATTCACTGTAATTTTTGCTTACCTATGTTTGCTTTGTTAAGCGCATTGAGATTTCCCTCGGTTATGTTTTGCGCTATATAAGACTGTCTTATTATTATTATTATTATTATTATTGTATTATTATTATTATTAGCCATGTCTCTGTGATGGCGCAAATATCCACATTATTCTCATACAAGTAGTCATTAAGTTCCACATATTTGTTCTTAATGCTAAAGGCATTCAGATGAACAATCTTAATAGGGTTAAACTCTTTACCCTTGTGTACGTGCGATGTGCGATAGGTGCTGTTGGTGCTGTGGTGCTGTACATTATTCTTTGGTTGGTGATTTACAGCTCTTTCCCGCTTGCCCCCTCTGGGGGCATGGGTTGAGGAGTCCTTCGCACCAACTTTTTTCCTTTTATGATCCAGTTTGGGTCATCTTCTCTCTTCTTCCGTAGTTCACCCCGCAGCCTAATGTCCTCTTCCCTCTGCAGGATTGTCATATCAGGACAAACAAATATCTTGGTAGGATCAAAGGAAACCTCATCAAGATCTGCATGTCTCACTTTGGGACCTCTCTTATTAACACGAGACTTTTCTTCCTCACTTGAAAGAATAACCTTGATAGGTCTAGGTTTGCCATCTTGATTTTTCCTTCCTAATCTGCGAACAGCCTTAGGTGTCACATCATTTACCCCTATGCTATGCAATAGTTCATTGCAAGCATCCATATCACTCATTGCTAGATCTGAAGTAGAAACATTATCACTTATCTGGTCATCTTTTACGATAGGTGCATCATGCTCAGGTAACCCTCTAATAATTATGTTCTTCTTACGTTTCTCAATTTCATCAGGTTCGTTTTGCATTAGTTCAACTCTACTAGCTAGCTTAGCAATATCACTGTTAGCTCCTTCAAGTAGCTTCTTTGTGGTAGCCACCTCCACACTTAAATCATCCACGGTTGCTTTGTCAGCTTTCTTATCAATATTTATCTGCATATCATCGATCTTGGAGTTGATTTTGGCCATGTACATAGCACACTTTTCTTCAATTTCGCAGTCTGCTTTAATTGCTGTCATGGCTAACTTATCACAAGAACCACAGTACCAATGCAAATCTACTCTGCCTTTCAGCATATCATAAACAACAGGTTCCATACCTAAACATTTTATGCACATAGCACCGTCGCATCTTTCACACTGCATCAACTTGTCGTCTTCATTGATGAATTCTATGCTACAAACTTTACAAATCCATACCTCTGTTTGACTGGTGTTGTTGTCTTGGGATGTAACTGTATTATCATTGGCTACCTGGTTCTTTTTTGGTCGACCACGCTTCTTCTTTGCCGTCTGAGTTGAGGTAAACGAAGGTTCCGAAAACGAATCTTCCGTAGACCCACCTGCAGCCAAGGAACCATCTTGGATGACGTCACTTCCATCTTGGATGACGTCACTCCCTCTGTTGGCTGACGATTTGGAAAAGCTTCGAGTTGAAGACCGTGTAGCAGTAGCAAAATTCATCGAAGATTTTGAGCCCGACATGGTAGAAATGAGCTCAAAAACCTCCCCCACAAGAGGACAAGGACAAAAAATGCAAGATGCAGTTCTCAAAAAGTGCAAAAAACTATCGCAGAAGGGGTGAAAAATATAAAAAATCAGAGCCCTTATTCAGAGCGAACTGCACAACTCTAGCGCCCTCTTAGTCACGGTTGCGTGGCATTTGTGTTTGTAAACACACCTGACTTGTTTATTAATTTATCAACGTTTTTACATTTTCTACTAATACAACAATTTGACAAAGAATTTTTTATTAAGTATTTCTTTACACGTATTATTTTAAAAATGCAGAAAAGCCTGTGTCTAGCTCTTCATCGAACAGGCATAGCTCTAGTTTTTTTCCTTTTTATTCCACCCGAAATCCCATAGACTTTGTTCATGTTTTATTCAGTGCGGCATTTTTTGCCTTAAACAAACTCGTATTCTACTGAAACCTAACCTGTGTAAAGACCCCATAGTGAGTTTGTGTCCCAAAGAGTGACATCATGATTACGTTATCATGGGTCATGTGACGTCATCTTAAATGTGCAAACTTTAAGACCCTATATCTACAGAACTGTAAGTCCGATTGGGTTGAAACTTGGTACCGGTATGTAGGTAGACCGGGATGGGTAAAAAATTGAGGTGACGTCATGATAACGTCATCATGTGATTTTATGTCGATTTTTGAAGGTTTATTTTGGTAATGGGTATGTTAGGTCATATGTGCACAAAAAGTGTGTGACGTCATGATGACGTCATCAAAAATGCCTTTTTTTTTTAAATCACATATTAGGCTCAGTCCGATCTTTTTGAAACTTGGTGGGTAGGTAAATACTATTAATAGTATGCAAAATCTGAAGTGTTGTCATGATGACGTCATCACCTGATTTTTTTATTAATTTGAAACACTTTTTACATGTTCTTCTAATGCAAAAAATTGACATTGACATTTTTTTTTAGTATTTTATATATTTAGGCCGATTTTTAAAATGCGGAAAAGACTGTGTTTTGTTCATCGAGCAGACATAGCTCTAAGTTTTGTTCACTAATGCCCTGGGCGGTTTTCTGTACAGTTGTTCAGTGTGAGATATGAATACATTTGTACACTGTATGCAGTACAGAACCCAGATACACATACAACTGTCATTCCTCTCTTTTATAGGTAACATTCTTGATGGGTAACGAACTGAATGGTAATCATGTCTGATCAACTGATATGGACATGTGGCAAACCCAACATCGCTCTTCATTTACGGGACAGAGAGGCAGGCTTTGGAAAAGCTCCAGCATACAGACGCAACTGTCGAATGTGGAGAACACTCATTTGTGATGTAAGTACTAAAATAATTAAATAAAACCAAATTTTGAATTTTGTGTAGACAACCTGTGAGTGACAATTGTCCACGTATGTAACAGTACTCCAGGGTTATATGCTGTAGATTGTTGGCGGCGATCCTGGGGGAGGGATGGGGGGGGGGGGGGAGACATGTCCCAGTCAATAGTTTTGGGGCAGGGGATGCTGGCATTTCCCTCCACCTGCCCAATAATTTATCCCAGTGCGTATAGATTTTAAGCCAATGTACCTAAAGTTTTCCAGAATGGTGTTATACATAGCAGATGCATCACCCTTTTCAATGAAATTGCACATAATGGGCGTAAATGCATACCGGTAGTTTCTACAAAACGCTTACGTTACTGTACCACATCATCTCATACAGTTCGCTCTGGAATGGTAAGTTCCAGAACATATCAGAAAGATCGTCTTCAATTACTATGGTGAGCAGTAATTAGTTCATCTGTGTGAAAATGCAAGACTGGCCCCTCTGGTCTTCAGGAATTTAATAGCGCTCGAATGCATTCTTCATGTTGGTGAGGAAGTCTTGGATTTCGCCCGCCTTGCCATCAAATGCAGTGATCTTGCGATCTGGTGCCATCACAAGTGGTGCTTGGGGTCTGGAAAGAAGCTTTGTCAGTTTCTCCTGAAGACCTTGAATCGATGGACTCTCTGCGGTGCTTGCCATTGGCTCTGGAAGTAGCACTGCATATACACACTCTCCCCATCCATCAGGTGGCAGCTTAATTACGTCACCCTGGGCTGGAACAACTACTTTATCGTCTCCCTCGGTGTAGAGTACGTAGGCCAGTAGCAGTAGGGTGTTGTGACCGCAGAACAGTAAGGTGCAACAGTCCTCCTTCCTCCTCCAACGGAAACCGCTGTACAGACTTGGCACCTTGAACTCTCACATAAGCCATAGTGAGGACAAGTTACATGTACTTCTAAAACTTAATGCTGAAACAAGGGGGGGGGGGGTTAACAAGGTTCACCCACACACCTTGACCTTATCAATGCAACAAGAATTTAACAACTCTCAATTTCTACAAGGATGCTACTTGAAATGCAATAATCCCTCTAAAAGTAGCACAATGCAACACTAAATTCCTAACATCTGAATCTTGAACGCTCTTACCACTCTATGGTAAGTATGATACCTCAGTGTAAAATCAACAATGGCAAATACACATCATTACAAGTGTGCATCCATTTTGGTATGTAATGTGGCACTACAAATATCAATCCACAAAAAAAGTCCACAAGATTGTACAGTAAATTCAACTACAATGGATGCTTGGGAAAAAATGCACAACCTCGAGCAGAGCTACATCAATGTACAAAATACAACCAACTCTAGAATTTAAGCATGTGATACAATATCAAATACTATGAATGAAATTACCAATCTAAACAAATTATGTTCCTTCCAAAGTATCAATTCAAAATTTGGCAATGCACAACTCGGAAATTACTTTTCCGAAAACAAGATTTGTAATTACATGCTAAACTGCGTACAACCGGTAGATTCAACAACTTTATCGCAAAAAACAGTACCAACACTCCTCTGTAGTTAAGAAAAGTTACAAGAAGTGCCCAAGATGCCTTAAAATTACTTGATGCTGACTTGCTCAAGTAACACTGTAAGCTTAATGCACAACTACATGGAAATCAAATACGTGGGCACAACAAGCTAATTCTGTTTAGCACTTGGAACTTTAGATGGTGAATACAAAGTCAACACTCCGATTGGACGAAAATGAAACCTCAAAACACAAGCTGTGTATAAATATGGGCAAACTATATGAAACAATTTTCAAGTCAACCCGCTATCAATTTGCAACAGCAAGTGTGAAATTTACGTGAGTAAAAGCAGTTACATGTACAAGGAAACCACTTCTCTTTGGTGAATATGATACAAATTCAATAACACCTTTGATATCGCGAAAGTCAGTAATTGTAATTTTTTTTTTAAATAACACCCTAAACTGGGGGATAATATATTGGAAACAAAGTATGAAATGACCTTTGATGATTCAAATTTGCACAAAGAGGCTAAAACCGAAAATAATTACAGTCAGTTCAATAGCTGTGCTGCAACTCCACTACGTTTCCAGCTCCCTCAGGCACGATCTGATCTCCACGTCTGCTACACACTCCACCATCCTGCCGACTACGCTTGTAGAGATCCCTCGGGACGGGGTGGGGTTGGGTGATGAGGTAATATTAGTGTGGGTTGTAACTGACTGGTGAAGAGCTCTGGGTCTGGCTAAATGGGTGATTGGGAGGGCAACACGGGCACGCAGGTCCTAGTGAACAGGTGACGCTTTGAGAATAGTTAGCTTCCTTGCCTCAATGACTGCCGATTTATTCCTGCCAACCTGCCAGCCCAGCTGCCAATTCTAACTGTGTGAGAATTCGGCAGTGTGGTAAAAAATACAAAGAATACAAATTACAAAAAGCACGCACATGTCAGTGTTATACAGGTATAAAATTACAATAAACGTGTAGGCCTACATGTAGATCTATTTCCCCAAATTAAATAAACAATCTTCGCATGAAATAAGAATTACCTCAGGCAATGCTAAACATAAAGGAGCAGGCTCACATTTACACATGCTGGTCAGGCACATTCATACACACTATCAACCACTTTCATACACACCAGTCCTCAATGAACAGGAAGATGAGCCATCATTTACTTGTGTGTTATTATTCCCTAAATGTAAACCTTAGATAATCATAGTAGGCCTACATGTACTGGAATCTGACAACGCGCAATAAGACCCATGTTCAATTATGGGGGGGGGGGGGGCGACAGCCCCCCCCCCCCCCATGAAACCTTGTTCCCCCCCCCCACTGAGATTTTGAGTTTCTAAAAAAATTATCATTGATCTACATGACGCCCCCCCCATGAAATGTTCCAGCCCCCCCCCCCCCCCCCCCCCCCCCACTGAAAAATTCCTGGCTACGCCACTGCTTGGATCTTGGGAGAGAAAGCCGGGTGTGATCAGAAGATCTGTGGCCATGGGAAGCTTAAACATTGAGTAAGTGTATGAGATCGGTCAGTCAAGTATGATAGGGCTAGAGCATGAAGACACTAGATTAAAGTGAGAATTTTAAAAGAACTCCGCTTCTTCATAGGGAACTAGTGAAGCTCTACCAACATGCCAGCAGGGGGTTTGTCTCGTCCACACGCGAAGACTAGCCATGCAGCTATATTTTGAAGGGGCTCCAAAAATGATATGTAGCTGGGAAGAATGTTGAAGACCAGGGAGTGCACAATACATTGTATCTATACATGTAGGTGCACCTCATTACTGATGGTATCAAACATATGCCACAGGATATGGAATCTGGTATATTTAAACCATTAAATTAGAGGTTGGGTGTGCACTAGACAGATCCAAAAAGTATTTTGTTGTTTATGAGAAAAGGAAATCATGTTAGTGAAACATTCATGCAAATTGTTATGTTCGGTGGTAGGTCCTAGCTACAAATATGTAGGTACATGTTGCAAACACTGCTGACTATGCTTATTCCATTACAGAAAACACCTCACCTCTGTTCAGTGTTGTTGACTCGCGTCGCTGAGTAGGACTCGAATCGCTACTTTTTTGACTTGAGACTTGACTTGATGTGGGAAAAAATGACTTGAGACTTGACTCGACTTGAAAAAAAAAATGTCGTGTGACTTGACTTGACTCAAATAAATTTGACTTGCTGACATTAACACGTTTCTTAAACTTACAAAAAACACAAACCTCCGGGCGTTCGTGGGCACTAGCATAATCGGCGGCCCGTGCCCACTGCATGCCGCATGCCCACAAAGGACTCTGTAACTTAATAGCTTGTCCTAGTTTTTTCAGCGACGCGTAGTGTCAAGACGTACATTTTAGCCGTTCTCGCTGTGCTTGTAAAAATGGCAGACTCCGCCAAGACCAAAAAGAAAACTGTTACTAGCTCAAGCCGTCCTACCGGGAAATCACCCTCCAGTCAACAAGCCAAGTGTAAATTCCACTGCTACGACCAGGTCCAATCTTCCGGGTTCGGTGGTTGGAAATTCTCCGGGGACGAGCACTCCTCCAACGAGAGTTACGGCCACTCCCCGACAAATCCCGTTACCGACAAATACGTTTGGCAGTCTACATGAGCACATGCACCCTTCAGAATCACAGGTCAACTTGCATGTGCTTGGCGTTCGACACCATCCAGCCCCGTCGGGTCACAGAGGCTATGGGGCACCACCGGCACCATCTTCATTCAGCCATACTTCTACTACGGGTTCGTACTCAAAACCTAGCTTTTCGAGCTAATCTTGGCGAGATTTTCTCCATCGTTCTGAGCCTACGACCTTCGGGTTTTTCCCCAGGCTTCTCCGATGGGATTTTCCTGTTATTGGATGCCCTTGCCCGATGGTATGGAGACCCTTCCTTGTGTGAGCCAAGTAAATAACCCGAAATGTTCCATTTTCTGGATGACTGTCTGGGTTTTTGCCTCAAGGAATTTGCTTTGGGATACGCTTCAACTTCTTTGCTACGATGCTCCTTTGTTGTAGACAAGTTGTTTCCCCCTTCAGTTGGTTCTAAGAGGGTGATTTTTTTGACAACAGGTTCAACCAAACTATGTTGCATGAAGCCAAATTTCTAAAAGCTGAAGACAAGTTGGATCTTTGTCAGCGTTCAGCCAAATGCCTGTCTACCTTTGTCCCCAGTCAGCCCAGCCAGAAGAAACAACGGCTGTTTTCTACTGACCAGGGCTCTAATCAGTCCAAGAATCAGGTACATCGGTCTTCTTCATCTTCCTCGAACTACACCAGGAGACAGCCCCCAGATATTCGCAGCCCTTCAAGTCCCGGGGGTCGCGAGGTAACAAGGGTTATTGACTTCAGCAGAGTATTCATCCCTCCTACTTCGGGTCCAGTAGGTGGTCGTCTTAGGGAGTTCAGTCAGAGATGGTCTCACGTAACCTTAGACATCTGGGTTCTTCAAACTATCTCTACAGGGTACCGTCTGGAATTCACCAGCAATCCTCCTCTACAGCCTCCGCGATGACCAACTCCTGAAAAATGGCGACCCATCATCAACTTACGACCTCTCAACAGTTACATCAAACCCAAAAACTTTCCATGGTGCTCCAGTCCCTAAAAAGGAATTGGTGGGCTACTTCCATCGATCTGAAGGATGCCTACCTTCATGTACCTATCCATGCAGATCATCAGAAGTTTCTCCAGTTCTTATACCAGGGTTCTGGGTACTAGTTTCGCTGCCTAGCCTTCGGCCTCTCCACAGCCCTATGGGTCTTTTCAAGAATAGCCAAAACAGTAGCAGATTTCTTGCATCAAAAGCAGATTCATATATTCTTGTACCTAGACGATTAGCTCGTAGTGGGTCCCACTTTCCAATACACGGTAAATGCCCTCAGACAGACCGTTCAACTTACCCTCAATCTGGGCTTCATCATCAATGTCGAGAAGTCCTCTCTGTTTCTGACACAACAACCAACCTATCTTGGAGCAGTTCTAAACATGACAAAAGGCAGAGCGATGCCATCTGGGGAAAGATGTCAGACACTTTGGGATTGCATCAGGATTTTCAGGTCCTCTTCAATTCTCCCAGCCAAAGCTTGGTTCCGCCTACTGGGCCTCATGGCAAGTCTGATGGATTTGGACCCTTTGTGCAGGATGCACATGCACCCCATACAGCTCCATCTACTGTACTACTTTCGCCCTTGAAAAGATCCTCTATCAAAGATGATTCCAGTAACTCAGTTAATTCTAGACAAACTCCTTATTTGTTTCTCTGCCTGGCCACTTGGGGCCACTTGAGAGTTGGTGCATTCCATGCCAAATCTCTCTTCAAACCACCCATCTGGCCGGGAAGAAGAACATCCTCGCCGACGCCCTTTCCAGGGGTCGCGTCGCTCCAACAGAATGGTCTCTCCACCCTCCTGTAGTACACATCTTCAACTTACTCGGAACACCACAGGTGGACCTGTTCGCATCCCACCTGAGCAACCAGCTTCCAACATTTAGCACCCGTCATGCTCATCCTATGGCGTGGAAGGTTGATGCCCTCAGCTTCGACTGGACAGGAATCCATGCATATGCCTTCCCACCGATCTCTCTCATACAACGGGTCCTGACAAAGATAGAGACGGTGCTATCCAGGGTAGTCCTCATAGCTCCATTTTGGCCATGACAGCTATGGTTCCCAGACCTTCTGTCACAACCAAGGTCTCACATTCTATATCCGGATCCATCCTTTCTCTATCTTTATGCCTGGATGCTCTCAAAGTCTCCTTCCGAGGAACTGGCCTTTCGGAGGAAGCTACATCCTTGGCAGCCAAGAGCAGATGGAGATCCACCAGAAGAACTTATGATAGTAGACTTCTCCACCTCACCAAATGGAGCGAGGAGAGAACTGTCAATCCCTGTTCTGCATTTGTAACCTCGATTTGGGATTTCTTTCTTCGCCTTTTCAATTCTGGCCTTCAACAATTAAGGGCTACAGATCAGCTATTGGTGTCCTTAATCAAGGTTTCCGTGATGGCACAACAACTTCATCAAATACATCAATTTCTCACCTGATACGTGGTATGTTTAATGATCGGCCTCCTACCAGGAAGCTGATACCATCATGAAACCTGGGTACCGTCCTGTTATCTCTCTCCAAACTTCCGTTTGAACCGGCAAGTAGTTCTTCCCTTCATCATCTTACAGTTAAAACTGTCTTTGTACTCGCTGCAGCTATGGCTCGCCGCAGAAGCAAACTCCATGCTCTGTCAGTGGAACCAGGCCATATTCGATGGGAACCTGGCGGTGTACGACTAATTCCATGGGTAGATTTTCTCACTAAGAACCAATCAATGGTCTTTCACCCCCCACAGTACTACATTGCTCGCACCAAGCCCTTAAGAGGAGACATCAATCAACTGTTTATTACGACCATCCAGCCTCATCATCACGCCTCTGTGACCACAATCTCTCGATGGATTTCGGTGGCCATAGAGTGCCCTCCCGAACATCGAGGATCAAAATCAGGAGCCCACGAGACACGCAGCATGTCAACTTCTGCTTGGAGTTTCTCTTTCAGATATTATGAAAGCAGCCTGCTGGAAAAATCCTTCAACCTTCACATCATGCTACCTGAAGGATGTAGTGCAATTGGAGGGATGCATGGGCAGGAAAGTCCTCCAGGAAACAGCCTGATCAGCAGCCCGCTCAGCCCGCAAAGCTCCTTTGAATTAGATAGGCAGCTCCCGGGTATGTCTAAACAACCTTTTTTTATGTTATCTAATTTACATGTAGGCCTAGTTTAGATTTTCATTACCACTGCATGACTCTTCGCTCCCTTGAGACTTTCGGTGCTACTCTGTAAATGTAGGTAAAAAATGTAAACGGAGGTGAGGTGTTTTCTGTAATGGAATTCCTAAAATCCAAAGGGATTTTCCATTCTAGTAAGAAAACACTCGCCTCTGTTTACCATACCTCCCTTTTTGTGAATTAAAAAAAAAAAAAAAAAAAAAAAAAAAACTAGGACAAGCTATTATTACGTTACAGAGTCCTTTATGGGCATGCATGGGGCATGTGGCTTGGGCGCTATTCTTTTCAGCGAAGGTTTGTGCGCATGTGCGCTGATGTGCAAATGTAGGTAAACAGAGGTGAGTGTTTTCTTACTAGAATGGAAAATCCCTTTGGGCAATTCCACTGTTACTCACGTTACATTTTTGATGTACTTTTGAGTTTCCTTGGGCTGTAATTACCTTACTGAGAAGGTTTAATAACTATTATCTCCATGGTAGATGGAGTAGACCTAGACCTACCTAAGCACCAAAGATGACATCCAGAAAAATGTGTTATGTATGATAAACAAGATGCACAATATCAGTTACTCACGTTACATTTTCGTAACGTGAGTAACCGATTTTGTATGTCTTGTTTACCATACATACCGCAACACATTTTTCTGGATGTCATCTTTGGTGCTTAGGTAGGTCTAGGTCTACTCTATCTACCATGGGGATAACAGTTATTAAACCTTTTCAGTAAGGTAATTACAGCCCAAGGAAACTCAAGGAAAGCACATCAAAAATGTAACGTGAGTAACCGTGGAATTGCCCCTTTGGATTTTAGGAAGACCATTTGGTTATACGGGCAGCTTTTAACATTGATCTGAACATACCATGAATGTGTCGAAGAGACATCAGTCCACAAGAAGTATGGTGGGTGTGGCACACAGCATCAGACGCCAGTGAATCAGCAAAACATTTTAAATGTTAAGATGACAGTGAGGGCAGGAATATTTGTGTAGAAATAGTGACATGTATACATGTATAGTATTCACAGAATCCATGGAATTAGGATGTCTGTGTGAACAGAAAAAGGACAATTATAACTCAAGATCACCACATCACACATTAAAAACATTTAATAATTATAATATACATGTACATGAAATTTATAACACAAATCAAGTCTGGATATAAATGTGTACTGCTTTATTTTGTTGTAACTTTGACAGAAAAGTTCAGTTTACAAGAAGACATGGAGTTTGACCTCTAAAAATAGGATATACTACATAGGGTAAGTGTCCTTTGTTCAAGCAATGGTATTTTACCTAGTATTGATGTGCGTAGTTTGAAACCATACACATCCAAAACATTGTGGTGTTTTTATACACTATATTGGTTATTTGGAACATTTGAGTAGGGGTGCACTGGAATAAGATGGACAACCAACATCATGTAGTTCATTGATGCTCACCAAGAATTAGTTTTGGTAAAATCCACAAGAAAGTGGGCAAGGCTGAAATCTGCAGAACTACAAGCATAATTCATAACTACACATTTTTGTAAAGAAAACCCTGTGTTTTTGGCTAAAGTTACAGATTTTAGGTAGTTATTTTGGCTTCTTGTTTTCACATGCAAAATGAAAGTGTTATTGTGAGTTTTTGTTTTTGAGGTAGAGAGCAAAGGTTCATATTGTAACCTGAAAGATAAATGTGATGTAACTAACCATAAGACCCCCGTCTCACTTATTCGGAATCAGCATGAATCAAGCAGAACCAGCCGGAATGAAGAATTTTCAAAATTCGTGCCACATTCAGGAGGGAATTTCAAATTGACCAAGCTTTGTAAGAATGCCGTTCGAATACTTGGAATGCGCTTCGAACCCGCCTCAAATGATTCTTGCGCATTCCGGGTGTATTAGCTCTCGAATGCAGCTCGAATGTAGTTGGAATATTTAGAATGCTGTTAGAATGCAGTCAGAATATTTAGAATGCACTTTGATTGCTGCCCGAATACCGCTCGAAGTCTGGTTGGAAGGTGCATGCCTCGAATGCTGTACGAATTCACCTCGAATGCAGTCAGAACGCTCCCAGAATGGCCACTGAATATGGTTGGAACGTCCAAGAATTCAAACAGAATGCAGCTCGAATATTTAGAATGCACTTCGAATGGTCCCCGATAGGATATAAAATGCTGCCGAATCTAGCATTTTTATCAGTCTCAGCCTTGGTGGCATGATGTGATGTTGACCAGGCGACTTCTTAATGCAGACTGACGTTCCAGCTGCAGCTGGCCGCATTTTTATGCGATTCGGCGTTGTTCTCAATTACGTTCGGACTCATTCGAGGGCCAATCGGGACGTTCCGACTGCATTCGAGCCGCATTCGAGCCGCATTCGAGCGGCAATCGAAAGATTCTGACGGCATTCGAAGTGCATTCCAGCTGAATTCTTTTAATATCGAAATAGATTCCGGCAGCAATCGAGATGCATTCGAGGTGCATTCCGGCTCATTCGAGGCGCATTCGGGACATTCTGGCAGGATTTGAAGTGGCTTGGCCTTTCGATTCTCCCTTGAATGCAATCAGAATGTTTCGAAATGCTGTTGGAATGACGTAAGAATATTTAGAATGCAGTCAGAGTGCAGTTAGAATACACTTCGAATGCCGTTCGATATTTCTCCACTTCGAATGCACCTCGAAAGTTCTGAGCATGAGCAAAACATTCGGGCCGGCCACAAGAATGGGCCCGAATATTTGGAATGCACTCAGAATGCAGTCAGAAGTTTTAGAATGCACTTCGAACATCCAGGAATATACAAAGAATTTTCATTCCGACTGCATTCCGGCTCATTCTGCCTCTAGTGTGACTAGGGTATGACATAACTAACCCAGAGTTTTTGGCAATGCTTTAAACTGACTAGAGAAATTGAGAAATGTTACATGTCAAAATGTTTGTCAGTAAGTGAGCAATTACAGAATACCAGCATTTGTTTCAGTGGTATTCCATTTAAGAAATTTTCTGCAAAAACATGTATTTTTTATTGATGTCCTTTTTTTGTAACATAACTAACCAAGATTACACGTCCCATTACAACTCACAAAACTTGTCGAAATGTTTTTGCTTATGACATGACTGTGTTAGAAGTCCTGGTAAGATGTATTGATGTTACCATGAAGGAACCTTGCGCAGAGTGACCTGCGGGCCCCAGGTAACTTGGGCCCCAGGTAACCGAATTTTTTGAAAAAAAAAAAAAATTGAGGGCCAATGACGGTCACCTTCCATCTAATCCTCATTCGACCCTTGCCAAATAAGCTGGTTCAATGAACTTTGCAGCCAGGGCTACACCCAGGCCGTGTCAACAAACTTTCGACCAGACCTCCTGCCAAGTCTCATTGAAACATCAACAAAGACCTGTAACTTGACACAGTCATCTCCCTTCATAACTGCATACCACAGCCGCCAGTCAATTATCTTTCCAGCGCACTGTCTGGCAACTGTCTGGACACCTGCTGGCATGTGGCTTTTTGTTGTATTGCTATGAATAGGGTCTTGCATAGTGCGGGAAAGTACCTGCTGCCCAAAGGGCAGCAGTTGACGAGTTGTTGCCAATTTTTTTTTTGTAAACGCTGCGCAGGGTTAAGTTGATTGCCAAACATGTTGATAATGAATGGAATGTCTGGGTAACACCATGTTAATAATGTTCAGGAGATGTTGATATTTATGAAGGAGCCCAAAAAGCTTATGGTACATTGCTGTGTAAACACAGTAACCGTGGAGTGGGGTACCGAAGTGAATACGTCACCCGCACAAAATGTGTGTAAAAGACCTTAGCACGTGATTCAGCCAGTGAACCAACATGCACGCGTACTCCTTTCATTTGCACTACACTATCTGGTTTTAAATGACGTCACACTTCGGTACTCCATTACCCATTAGCAGTTCGGCTTGTGTCATGAGGTGGGCAAACACTAAAGCAGTGTTCCCATTGGACTTTTCTTCCATGGCCTTGCGATACTTACTGTGACTCACCGTCAATGTTCCTTTGCGTTCTGCCACGCGTTCCCACTTGGACTTTTTTAACACCGACAGAATGTTTATTTACTGTGCGTGGCTTGCAGAATGTCACACATTGTGGGCTCTGTGCACAAAACTTTTGACGTAAGCAGCTATCGGGTAAAGGAACTTAATTTTCACGCACTAAAACAGTTATCTACTGGACCGGAGCAACGCACGATGCAATGATAGTTTGGGAAAATGACTTTGTTATCTGTCCTTGCAAAGAATTCATGACGGTGCATACCGTTAACGTCATTTTCTCATTTGTGCCAACTGAAAATTCTCCACTTCTCGTCTGCCGTCCCCAACATTTTAACTGACATCTACAGGTAATCCAATAGAAGAACTCATGAAATCGAGGGGCAAATGGACGAACAAAATTATATTTTGTCCCTCCAGTTTTGTACGTTGTATGGCTAAGAGAACAAAAGTCCTCTTTACATAGGTTACTGCACTCAACCAACTATAGTTAGCAATATTTAAGACCAGCAGGAGTGTCGTTACAGGGTGAGTAAAAAAAAGCGGAACCCAAACACCAATGAAGATGACAAAACGCAACACGAAAGTAAAGATGGCGATCACTGTGACACCGTGAATTTGCGAATCCTCGTTGATTCGCATAACATCAAATTGATAAACCAGAGTTGTAATGAGTCACTTACAGTTTATGACTCAAGTCGAGTCGAGTCATTTCAAGGAAGTGACTCTTAAGTCAAGTTGAATCATTGGGTCAAGAAAATCGAGTCGAGTTACAGTGTGTGGTCAAGTCGAGTCTAATTTATGCTTGAGTCAAATTGAGTCACTGATATTTGAACACCTATAAATTACAGAATGGAAGAAGGAACACAAGGCACTAGTTTATTATGATACCCAATAGACAGTTTCTTCTGGACGTTTCTACCAAAGATCTTCGTAATGGTTAACAAAAAATGAAACTTTGGTTTTGTCTCTGGTTTGGCTTTGGAATAATTTTACGCTCACAACATCAAAACCAATTTACTGCAACATACAAAACCGTTTCAGATTATATAGAAATATATCTAATTATTTTTTGAAAACAGGACATAAATTTAGCTGGAGTTCCATCAAGGGCTTAAGAAATTGCCTGAAGCTGATGATGAAACCAAACATTGGGAATATGTTTATTGATTGATTGATTTATAGCTTCATATATGAAAAAAGTACAATATAGTAGAAATTCACGTGATTGCTCGCTAAAAATTTACTACAGATTAAGAATTAAACATTTAAAAATACACCAATTTAATACATTCGAACACATAAAATCTCAAAGAAAAAATAATAAAGCAGAACATTACAAACGTCATTTACAACATATATTTCTCGAGTTAAAAATACATTATAGTTGTTTAAAATTCCCATTTAAATATCTAACTGCAGTGTTATAAGAGCGATTTGATCACTTAATAGTCGGTCCCTCGATTGATCAATATTTGTGTCTCATCATCTGAAAAGCCCATTAGCAGGATGAGATTCATCTGCAGTTATTGCACAAGCTCGTGTCAATGTTCGCTGTTGGTAGATCTCAGCCGAAGTCATTTGAACACCAATAATAATCTGTGACGCTGTGTCATCTACACAGGCTATTTTCCTTTTGTCATGAACAGTAATGTTCCTGTACCAAATGGTGATAGAGAGTGTGCGAACACTCTCGATGACAGCACGATAAAACATAATGAGAACATCAGTGCTTACCCGGAACTTCTCAAACTGCAAAGAAAATACAACCACTGCTGAACCTTCTTCACACAGTAATCAACATGTTCAGCCCACCCCAAAGAATTTGAATAAAAATACCTTAAATTTTCAACAAAGACATCCTTTCCACCTCCGTCCCATTGATAAAGAGTTGCAAAACTTCATTATTCCCTGACGGAAAAATCAATGATCATCTCCTTAATCTTGGCAATATTTAGCTGAAGGTTATTCTCAGAGCACTATTTCACTAAAATATCTGTTTGCTCACAATAGTGTCCTTCATCACCATGTGAGATAAGCCCAGCAACAGTTGTATCATCTCCTAACTTGGTTCCCATACAATCGTTAAAAGATATATGTAAATAAAGAATAAAGCTGTAGTGATCGGACACATCCATTTGGTGTACAAAACACCATGGACCCTGTTACAGCAGGCAACAATTGTATAATGTGGCCTGTGCCCACTCATTGACCTTCCTTTTGTGTGAATGGTGGATTGAAGCAGGAGCGGGATCAAG